CGGCCAAACGTTTCTTACTATTTTCAAAATCCGCCCAACGACTTGCGTGATTTCACTTGTTTTGATTTACTTACACATGGGAGAAATCCAAACCGATCGATGGATGCCGGCACTAATGGCTGATCACCTGACCATGGATCCACCAGCCGAGCTTGACAACTGGTTTGCGAATGTGTCGTCCCCGGTAGAGGAGACATTGTCAGTGCACATTTAAGTGCGTGCATCCCTCCACACAACTACCTTTGTATAGTTTTGAAGGGTGTCCATATTGGCCCTTATGCGCTCTGCGCTGCGGCGTGGTCTCTATGACTAGCATCCCATTGGTCGACTGGATAGCTCAGTCGTGGTGCGTTAGGTCCGTTTTTTGTTGGTCCGTTCCGGGTTTGCGTTGCGTTTTGGTCTTTCTTCCCTGAAATAAGCCAGTGGCGATGGCTATTTATACTTTTGGCAGTTTCTTTTTCTCAGTCTAGCTGATTCGTATTTAATTTTTATCGTAGTCTCATCTTCTTGAGCTCGATTAGCCGGTTGTACTTTCTCTTTCTCGTGTTTGCCGTTTCGGTTGTGCTTGGACGCCCTTTGTTGGATCGTCCTGTATAGTTACTCAACTTCTAGGCTAGGCTCTTTTCCGGGAAATCGGATTAACCCCCGTATTTCGCTTTGGTTTGCTTGCTTCTTTCACACACATTCACTTGGGTTTGTTGTGCTCTTTTACGTTCCGTAGTTCCGCAGTACTTTTGATCTCACTTTTTAGTAGTCTGGATCGATTTTGATGTCCCAGCTGATGTTTTTTTCCAGTGGAGTTCCATGCTTCTATGATTTCACTTTATTACTTATTTGTTGCTTGAGCTTAGGTGTGAACGTTGCCCCAGTCGAATTTGTGTCCATCTTGATCTACCTGCACGAGGACAGGTAGGAGTTTTTCGTACCTTTTGGTTGGGAGCTTGTGCTTCTGTTTGTCAAATGCGCTGAATCTTGGATATGGCGTTTTCCAGTCGTCTCTTCGGGTTTGACGCCATTGCTCGCAGGGCTTGTTTTTTGAGCGACGGTTGTGCTGTACTATCCTAACAGTCAACCAGTCATTTCTGAACTATTCTTGGTGCATTGAAGCGTTATACAGTTCTGTTAAGTTATTCGAATTGGTTTTTTTGAGAGTCCACCAGATGAAGTTTCTGAAGTATCCATCTTTTTTGACAAGCTTTGTAGTGGTGTTTTTTCTCCGACTTCTGACTCCGTACTGCTACAGTGCGCCTCAGTGCGCTTGAAACATCGAGAGTCGGTACTAATAGCGAAGAAAATCACTAAAAAGTTTAAAAGTCATTCACATTACCAAAAATCAACAAGTAGCTAAAATGAAGAACACTATTCCCGCACTGAAGAAAACAACCTGAGAAGTCATCACTCGAGCAGTCACGTGTGACCACGTGACTGAAGGATGAGTGACGTTATACCCGGTCTGAGGAAGAGCTAATCACACTGCTGAACAGCCGTTCGTGGCCAAACGTTTGTATTCAAACTTCTTGCCGCAAGCTTTTTGGTTTGGAACTCCCTACGGAAGTCATGTCAGAATTAAACAGTTGTAGAGTTCATCTCCGTTACTCAGCATAGACTGGCTTCACATACAGGACGAATTTTCCAATTAAATCTACTACGGTTTGCACATACTCTGACAAAAAGTGAAAAAGACGTTGCACTTATGCACTCATCTGCACACTAATTTGATTTTGACGAATCCTTGAATCCAGATGAATCTCTCGTTTATGACGTTTCTTTCGACTGAGATCCTTCCGTTTATTTCGACCAAATTCGGGGACCATCAGCTTGTGTTGATAATCAGTAAAATCTGAACGATGCATCTCAGTGCTTTGCTGAATCTTAAAATTTACAAATGGATTTATCACAAACCTATCAAAGTCTAGACCACGTGAGGTAGAGACAATGCGGCGTGCGCACACAAGATCAATTTACATTGCATTCTACCCCAGTCTGGATAAAATACAACTTTCCTAACGACAAATCTGTATCACGTGAGGCAGAGACAATGCGGCGTGCGCACACAAAATCAATTTACCTTGCATTCTACCCCCAGTCTGGATGAAATACAACTTTCCTAACGACAAATCTGTATTGGGATCTCAAAAACATAAATTTCTGGGAAAAATGAAACGTGTGAAATCGTGAGTAATAACAATCCATTGGAGATCATATCAACCCACCAATTCGCCGAAAGTTAAACTGAGAGCGTTCGGGTACTTTTGTGTTTGTTGTTAGTCAAGGAGGGTGTATTAGGTGTGGTCTGTGTGAAACGAACAAACGTGTACATCATTTTAGACGAAACGAAACAGAAAATCTGCGCTTTGATTTCGTCTTCCTTCAGCCATCGTCTCATTTCCTTTCCATAATCGATCTGGATGAAAATCTGGTAGACAAAGCTGTTGAGACATAAGACGTTACATTGTCCATACTATGATAAGTAGAAAAACGGGATGTGCTTGCCCAGAGATGAAAGATCATGGAGCGAGGTATGAGACGGGCACGTGATTTGATTGGGTAAAACTAACGGATCAAGTCATACATCTACACACTCAGTGGCACAGCAACATGAGGTAAAATAAAATAGTTGTCCAAACATTGTTGGTAGTGCGGGAAGGTTTGGAAACTTTGTGGGGATTTCATCCTGAGAGTGAAGCCAATCTATGCTGAAAACACAAGAAGCACTGTACAGCTGTTACATCCTTATCGGAGATTGAGGGGTGAGCGGCGGTCTATCCTCTCTAAGTGCGAGTTAATCACACTTTTGATCAGTCGCTCGTGGCCGAACGGATAAGTGTCCAAACTACTGGTCAGGAGGTCACGGATTCGAGACTTCCTGTCGGAGCTTCACGAGAAGCGCACTGCTGATGATTCCCAGTAAGGATGTCAGTCGCTCCCGAACGGATAAGTGTCCAAACTACTGGTCAGGAGGTCACGGATTCGAGACTTCCTGTCGGAGCTTCACGAGAAGCGCACGCACTATGATTCCCAGTAAGGATGAAACAGATGTAGAGTGCTTCTCGGCTTCTCAGCATAGAGTGGCGTTACTTACAAGATCACTTCCCTAAAAAATTGTCAGTACATTTCATTGTTTTTTCCCAGGCCGATGTGATCCAGTGTCATTGGCTACTTGAGGCACTTGTCTCAAAATTGCTTCAGAACTGATGAGAACCAAAGCCTTCTTCTCCCGTAAAGTACACTCAAGATTTCAACACGTGTTCTGTTGAATGAAGGTCTCACGATGTGAAATGACAATATTATCGGACGTTAGACAACTCCCTGAGGGGTTATATCATCACCACTGACTTGCATAAAAAATGAGCAATACATCAACTGGCCTCCCAACAAGGGACACAACCCGACAATCAGCTGCTCTGCCGGTTGTCCATCAGCTACTAAAAGAGAATGTTCCTAATTGTAGTGCGTGCCGACGGCAATGGAAGACAGTATCTTGGTAAAAAATGAGATGTCTGTATCGTAGAGTTTTAAGCGACTATCCAGGCAAACATACCTCCTTGTCGTGTATGTGACTGGCAGTGGTCTGCATCTGACTCCAGTGTAGTCTTTTCTCGGCTCTGGTTTTACTTATTATCGGTAGAAATAGAGCGGAATCAGTACAAGTTTACTTTGAACCATAAGGATGTATGGAACGGCGGTAAGCCTAGACGACAGAGAGTAGGCTTGTGTAGACTAACACACTACTCATGAAGTTGCTGAAAACTCCGACCATCCCAAACGAGAGGTTTAGCATGTGATTCCAGTGCAGTCTTTTCTCGGCTTTGCTTTTACTTATTATCGGTAGAAATAGAGCCGAATGACTATCAGTTTCTTTTGCACAACAAAGTTTCATACAACGGCGGTGTGTTTTAATAACATAGAACAGAATTTTTTAGGCATAACACACTACTGATGAGTCTTCTGAAAACTCCGACCATCCTAAACGAGAGGTTCAGCTGGATTCAGTTGTCTTGTGGCAAAACGAACTTCAGAGGATTTGTCGTACTCTGTCCATTTTATGTCCAGTTAGAGCAGCATTTTGAGGGGAACTCGGGGACTGCGCTTACTCAACGAGTCCCAAGCAGGGTGAAACCGATAATGGCCAGCGTTGCGAGTGAAAATGTGTGAATTTCAAACACCTCATAAACAGACACCCCTGTAACTCTGCGGGCGAATGAAAACTCACACCTTAGATTTCAAACCTTGATTGTTCTACACCGGATGGAACCACACTTCGGCTAAATTGACTTATGCACAGAAATGGAAAACTGTACTTCGGTATTTTTCTCCGCTCAGTTCTCGGTCTGAACCCTCAAGCTAGCGTTCACATCTAAAAGAACCACCAAAAATGCACAACGTATATTAACGCCGAAAAAAAAGTCGTGAACACTTGCACATCGCTTCATCTATAGTGTAAGCGGCAGTAACATCCTGGATATTTTGACGCGTTCTAGATGCGGCATTGGCAACGGGCATTCGGCCAATACTGGGTTATGATTGGTGGCGTTACTTACAAGATCACTTCCCTAAAAAATTGTCAGTACATTTCATTGTTTTTTCCCAGGCCGATGTGATCCAGTGTCATTGGCTACTTGAGGCACTTGTCTCAAAATTGCTTCAGAACTGATGAGAACCAAAGCCTTCTTCTCCCGTAAAGTACACTCAAGATTTCAACACGTGTTCTGTTGAATGAAGGTCTCACGATGTGAAATGACAATATTATCGGACGTTAGACAACTCCCTGAGGGGTTATATCATCACCACTGACTTGCATAAAAAATGAGCAATACATCAACTGGCCTCCCAACAAGGGACACAACCCGACAATCAGCTGCTCTGCCGGTTGTCCATCAGCTACTAAAAGAGAATGTTCCTAATTGTAGTGCGTGCCGACGGCAATGGAAGACAGTATCTTGGTAAAAAATGAGATGTCTGTATCGTAGAGTTTTAAGCGACTATCCAGGCAAACATACCTCCTTGTCGTGTATGTGACTGGCAGTGGTCTGCATCTGACTCCAGTGTAGTCTTTTCTCGGCTCTGGTTTTACTTATTATCGGTAGAAATAGAGCGGAATCAGTACAAGTTTACTTTGAACCATAAGGATGTATGGAACGGCGGTAAGCCTAGACGACAGAGAGTAGGCTTGTGTAGACTAACACACTACTCATGAAGTTGCTGAAAACTCCGACCATCCCAAACGAGAGGTTTAGCATGTGATTCCAGTGCAGTCTTTTCTCGGCTTTGCTTTTACTTATTATCGGTAGAAATAGAGCCGAATGACTATCAGTTTCTTTTGCACAACAAAGTTTCATACAACGGCGGTGTGTTTTAATAACATAGAACAGAATTTTTTAGGCATAACACACTACTGATGAGTCTTCTGAAAACTCCGACCATCCTAAACGAGAGGTTCAGCTGGATTCAGTTGTCTTGTGGCAAAACGAACTTCAGAGGATTTGTCGTACTCTGTCCATTTTATGTCCAGTTAGAGCAGCATTTTGAGGGGAACTCGGGGACTGCGCTTACTCAACGAGTCCCAAGCAGGGTGAAACCGATAATGGCCAGCGTTGCGAGTGAAAATGTGTGAATTTCAAACACCTCATAAACAGACACCCCTGTAACTCTGCGGGCGAATGAAAACTCACACCTTAGATTTCAAACCTTGATTGTTCTACACCGGATGGAACCACACTTCGGCTAAATTGACTTATGCACAGAAATGGAAAACTGTACTTCGGTATTTTTCTCCGCTCAGTTCTCGGTCTGAACCCTCAAGCTAGCGTTCACATCTAAAAGAACCACCAAAAATGCACAACGTATATTAACGCCGAAAAAAAAGTCGTGAACACTTGCACATCGCTTCATCTATAGTGTAAGCGGCAGTAACATCCTGGATATTTTGACGCGTTCTAGATGCGGCATTGGCAACGGGCATTCGGCCAATACTGGGTTATGATTGGCTGTTGGGTCCAGTCTTTCCACCAATCAGATCTCGGCCTGATGCCAGACCGGCAAGCGTCCCCCAATCATGCGTGGGATGGGCTTCTCTGCTGTATCGGCACCTGAATGCAAGCGATTAAGCGGGATCCATGTCAGCAAATTTTTTATTAGGTTTCTGAAGTTACGCACTGGTTGTCTGGATGTGGCCAGGTATAGTTGGAACGTTAACACAAAAAGTTTTTGCGTTCATCATTATTTAACGGAATTAGATTTGACAAGGACTTTCACGGTTCCTGCATAACCGGGCCTCTTAGATGGGAATACGGGTGGTCAGTTATCTCAGTGGATGATAATTCTACGATATCTCTGTTTCCCTCCAGTCGCAGCAGACAGATTTCAAAAGATGAAGAACCGGGTTGATTTTCATAAACGTCTGAGTTCAGTTAGCCGGATGAAAGTATATTTTGAGGAGAACCAAAGGTCTGTTCATCAACCAAACTACTTGAAGAGACTGAAAGTCGTTCATTTATCTTTGGAAAATTTTTCAACAGGTGACCCAAGATCGCGAAACCAGGCAGATGTACGCAAGAGTCTTTGGATGGTAAAACCAGTTCGCCTCGCTATTCCAGTTTGCCTGAAACCACAAAGTGCAAATTTCGAAAACATGTCACACGATAGTGACCAAGCAGAATTTTCGTAGTTCGGCGGACGATGAAGCTGTGCTGAAAAATGCCACTTTAAATATCGCGGTTTGCCTGGTATTGTTCTGTCCCACGTTTGTCAGTGACTGGACGACGTATCAGCAGTTGTCCCTGCACCCTTCCTTTGAAGGACTGGTGACCTCTTCTTGGACTAAATGGACTTTGGCGGGCGTATTTTGCGTAAAACCATGCAGTCCAGTGTGTAGCACTTGTAAACTGCTCTTTTTCCAGTGTGTATGTAAACTGCTCTTTTTCATGCTCAGTATCATCTTCTTTTATCCCATCATTACCAGTCACATCGCTGTACAAAAGTTTGTTTTGTTTTAATACAACCGCTACCGCC